CTTCTAGTTGCTGTATGTGGGACTCGGCCTCAGGATGGACGGAGAAGTGGTGCCTTGGTGCGCGCCCGGGATCCGAACCCGGGCCACCAGCATCGGAGTGCGCTCACTTAACCACCAAGCCACGGGGCCGGCCCTCATTATTCTTGATTTGTGTTAAAGTTTGTCATTTTTCATTTAGACTATACCATGTACCCTTTCCTTTTAAAGGTTCAGTTTTTCTTTCATTTTGGGTAAATTTTCCTGTATGAAATTTCTGAATACTTTTAATGTTTCGTTTAGTAGTCTTCATCCTTTTATTAGAACTTCTTTGTCTTTCATATTTACCATCTGCTAATGTTGAAATGTTTTTTGTCTTTCGCTCTGTATTCACAATTGTTTTTTCAAGTCTTTACTCCAAATCGCTAATTTGATTTTTAGTCATATCTATTGTGTTTCTTGTTTCTAGTTTATTAAGTCTGCAACACTGTCATTTCAGTTCTCACTTTGTTTTCTTAGCAATGCATTTCATTCTGTCTGAGCTCTTTTTTTAATAGGATCTATGTCCTTAAGTAATTCTATCCTATGAAGCATTCATGGGGAGTCTGTTTCTGTTTGTGGCTAATGTTTTCTTCCAGACTGAATTCTTCAATCTCTTTCTCTTCTTTTTCCTGGGATGTATTTTAATAGTTGTATTGTTGTTTCTTGATACATTGCTCGTGCTTAACATGGGCCACTCCTTTTAAACCTGTTTTTTCTGATAATGTAAGAGCTAATTCTCCTTGACACCCTATCTACCTTAGTGTAACTAGTTTGTTTCTCCCATCTAAAATTCGAGGGCTATGTATTATGTTCTCACCACTTCTTTCTAGCCTGAGGCATGAGGATGGTGGAAGAATAGAGATCTGCTAAGGTTGAGGTCTTTGCTTGGGGATGTGGGCTCTGATCTCTGTCTTCTAAGATCCTCTTATTGATCTTGTATCAGGGCCTACTTAACCCAGCCAAGGATGTATCTCATCCAAAGTGAGGACTTTGGCTAGTACTGTGCTGTTAGGTGGCAAACCCTGGTGATCCTCTCTAACTTTACTGATAGTCCTATAAAGGATTTTTCTTTTAATGGTTTTGTTCTTTGACTTCTCAGTTCTGCTTCTTACCTGCTCATTCTACCTCTCTCCAAATTATGAATTATTAGGGAAAATTCTCAAGATTTTGTTCGTTGACCTTTTTTCCTCAATATTGCTTCTGGGATGTAGGGACAAGGCTTGGAGACAAGCCTTTGCGACAAGCCTTTGCTAGACTATATGGTGCCTTTATGCAAATTACAAAATAGCGCCCTTTGGGGTGTGGGGGCACAGCTTGCCAACTGGGACAGATTGACTTCCATCCTCCATTCACCTCCTCAGCTAAGCACCCTTGAGTAGGGATAATCTACCCAATCATGCTCAAAGTCTTGTTAGGAGATAGACCTCATCCCACCAAAATTTTCTGTTTTTTGCTTTGATTATCATTTATAAAGTTTATGACATAATTTTATGTCCTTTTTGTTATTAGGTTATAAGTATAGAATTTTGGGCTATTTTATTTTTTCATTTTGTTACATAATTGTGATCCTATCTCACTTTGCCATCTTTATTTAAAAATCCTCTTACGTGTGTTTTCAAACTGGATATTATGAAGCATAATTTTAAAAACAATCTTTGATTTAAGGAAAGTATATTCTTTAGTAACAATGAGAAAAATAGGATTTGGTATTGTAGGAAACAAACATCATTGTTTGATGATGAATTTTTAGTTTTTGATTGTTACATGTGGTTTATCTTGATGGAAAAATGTCTTTTCAATGTTATTTAAAAGTTGTTTAAAATATTATCTTTTTAAACATTGCTTTAGGAGTATCCGATTTTAATCTTCGTGTTGCATTGCAAACACTTTTGAAAGAGTACTGTGAGGTGTGCAAATCTCCCAAAGAGAACAAGTTTTGTAGTTTTCTGCAGACATCTAAGGTTCGACCTAGGAAGAAAGCAAGAAAGTACCTGTATGCAGTAGGTAAGAACCTTTAAAAAGGTAGTACAAATTATCTTTATTTTCAGGATCAAAACCTTTTAATATTTTGTTGTTACTACTATACATGTCAGAATATGCAGAGGTGTCAAATAGTCATATTTAATTTTCATACAGGCTACAGATTTATAGACTTTATATAATACAGGGGGCACATCTAAGAATAAATTATTATTAAGTTATTATTGTCAAAAACTGATTAAAGAAATGCTACTTTAAAAGTTAAAAATTTGAATTCTAATGAAAAATAAGGAAAATGAATCTCGAAATTTTGAACTATTCACAGTGTCTTAAATGGTCATTAGGGATGATAGGAACCAGCGGTCTCCAAAATGTGGTTGTGCAGGATAATCCATAGGAGTATCAGATGAACATATTAAAACCTCTTTTCATCTTTATTTTAAAAAGCATTAAACTTTATCAATATTTGATATATATAGATAGATTGTTCAGATTTATATATGTAGTATAATTTATATATACTTTATGTATAATTTGTAATTTTATATATGCTATAATATATAAATATGTGATTTCCGAGTGCACGCTAAAATTTTTTTACTGATGAGATGTGCAGTCAGACAAGGATTTCAACTCACTTTTTTTTTCCCCCTTTTTCTCCCCAAAGCCCCAGTAGATAGTTGTATGTCATAGTTGTACATCCCTCTAGTTGCTGTATGTGGGACGCCGCCTCAGCACGGCAGGACAAGCGGTGCGCCGATGCGCGCCACCAGCAGCGGAGCGCGCACACCTAACCACTAAGGCATGGGGCTGGCCCCTCAACTCACTATTTTGAGTTGAAAAAGATACTAATAGAAGTCGTAATGAAACTTCCTAACTAGACGGATAACCAGCTCCTAGATTTATCTTTTATTTAACATTCTTTTATAACGAAGACCAGGTGGTAGAGCACTGTGGTTAACCTTATTGCATTTAAGCCATAATCTTTCAGGACTTGGCACATTTAAAAATGATATATGTATATACGGCAGGCCCTAAAGCACTTATTTCTTGCTATGAAATAGTTATACTGAATGTATAGATGTAGAGGGCAAGATTTCCCTCGTTAGTGCCATTTTCACATTTAGCAGTAAGGGATTTGCTGTGTACCTCCTTTCATTCCTTTGTTCAGGTGGATATACTCGGTTGCAGGGGGGTCGTTGGAGTGATAGCAGAGCCCTCAGCTGTGTAGAACGTTTTGACACCTTTAGCCAATACTGGACCACTGTGTCTTCACTTCATCAGGCTCGATGCGGACTGGGAGTAGCAGTTCTGGGAGGGATGGTCTACGCTATTGGAGGTAATAATGAAAATGTCTTATTTCCCTTATTAGTCTCTAGCTATAAGTTGGCTGCATTCTTATATACCTTATACATGTATATTACTAGGTACTATGGGGTATACATAAATATAATTGTAGCCAATAAATATTTATTAAGTGAATGAAAGAAAGAAAAAGGAAACACAAGATATTAAATATTTCAGACCAGAGGGATACTGTGATTTATCACAAGACAGAATACTTAGGTTTGGTTTTAATAAAAACTTGTTTATAAAATATGGCACCAAAATTTAGGTCAGCATTTATGATAAAATATTTAAAAATTATGAAAGCTGCATTATGAATCATTTTTAATTAACCAAGTTATCTGGAGAGTGAAATATATAAAACCAAGTTAGCTAGACATTGCGGTATAGTTCTTGATTGAAATCAGTATGTTTTCTGAAACTATTATTATGAATTGTAAAATGATAAATGAATAGAATTAAATAAAAGGAGATTTGAATGTTGGAGGGAAATAATTATCAGAGAAGGATCTAAAGAGAAATGCTAACACGGTTCATATCAATATTTGCTTCTGGTTAACTTGTCTTTATAGCAACAAGCCTAGGTAGATCCTCTCTAACCCTTATAGTTTATCTTTCTGCTTTATTTCTATGCGTCAGTCTAAAACACTAAAAATTGTATATCAAAAATTTTATTATTTTCTGACTATGATACTGTCAGTTTAAAATGAGAGAGATATAAAGAATATTTGATTTTTATTTATCCTTTGGAGGGAACATAATTGTCATTCAAAAACTGTTCATTAAATCAATAAATGTCATGGTGCATCCGAAAATCCCCACAAAGAAATTAAAGTTTTAAGCAGTAACTTTCTGTCAGCATCAAGACCATAATTCTATAATCTTTGACTAGAACTCTAATAGTTCTTCTTATGTACATTTTGGCAATTGTGTATGGTTTCATTGCATGAACTCTCCTGTTTAACCTAGGGTTACAGTGTGCTGTGTGACATTTGCATCTATACATATCCCCTTTCCTGATGCCACAGAAGTACTTATGGGGGCCCTTCAAAAATGCTATGACTTTGTCAGCTATACTATCAACATTGCTATCTTAAGATATTTCTTTTTTTTTTTTGCTTGAGGAAGATTAGCACTGAGCTAACATCTGTGCCAATTTTCCTCTACTTTATATGTGGGTTGCCGCCACAGTGTGGCTGACGAGTGGCATGGGTCTGTGCCTGGGATCTGAACTCATGAACCTGGGCTGCCAAAGTGGAACACGCTGAACTTTAACCACAATGCCATGGGGCCAGCCCCCAGATATTTCTTAATATATCATTTTAAAATAATTTTTTATTATCAAAGTAATTCAGGTTTGTGGTAGAAAGTTTTGCTAAAACTGTAGCATATGAAAAAGAAAATAAAAATCACTCATACTATAGTCACACCATCCAGAGAAAATTGCAGTTAATAGTTTGGTTTATTTCCTCCTAGATATATACATATCTGGGTTAATATTCTAAATAATTTTATTTATTTATTTTTCCCCCAAAGCCCCAGTACATAGCTGTATGTCATAGCTGCACATCCTTCCAGTTGCTGTACGTGGGACGCGGCCTCAGCATGGCCAGAGAAGCGGTGTGTCGGTGCGCGCCCGGGATCCGAACCCGGGCCCCCAGCAGCAGAGTGTGCGCACTTAACCGTTAAGCCACAGGGCCGGCCCATGGGTTAATATTCTAAATACTATTTTTTAAATTAAGATATAATTCATATACCATAAAATTCATCCTTTAGAGTATACAGTTCAGTTGTTTTTAGTATATTTACAAAGTTTTGCAACCATCACCACTAGTTCCAGAACATTTTCATCACTGCAAAGAGAAACACTGTCCCCATTAGCAGTCACTCCCCATCCCCACTCCCACCCATAGCAACCACTAATCTACTTTCTGTCTCTCTGGATTTGCCTATTCTGGACATTTCATGTATGGTGTTTTGTGTCTGGCTTCTTTCATTTAGCACAATGTTTTCAAGGTTCATTTATGTCTTAGCATATATCAGTACCTCATTTCTTTTTATGGCTTAATAACATTCCATTGTGTGGTTACTAGCATATTTTTTTTCCGTTCATCAAATGGTGATGGACATTTGGGTTGTTGCTACTTTGTGGCTGATGTGAATGAAGCTGCTGTGAACATTCGTGTACAAGTTTTTGTGTGGACATAGGTTTTCATTTCTCTTGGATATATACCTAGGAGTGGAATTGTTAGGTCATGTGGTAACACTATGTTTAACTTTTTGAGATATGTTTTGTGTGTGTGTGTGTGAGGGAGATCAGCCCTGAGCTAACATCCGATGCCAATCCTCCTCTTTTTTTACTGAGGAAGACTGGCCCGGGGCTAATATCCGTGCCCATCTTCCTCTACTTTATATGGGACACCACCACAGCATGGCTTGACAAGCGGTGCGTCGGTGTGAGCCCAGGATCCTAACCTGCGAACCCCGGGCTGCCGCAGCGGAGTGCGCGCACTTAACTGCTGTGCCACGGGGCTGGCCCTGATATGTTTCGTTTTTAACTTTTTTTTTTGCTTTTTACTTTTTATTTAATTAAAATACTTTTTTTTTTTTTTTTCCCCCCAAAGCCCCAGTAGATAGTTGTATGTCATAGTTGCACATCCTTCTAGTTTCTGTATGTGGGATGCGGCCTCAGCATGGCCGTGCGTCGGTGCGAGCCCGGGATCCGAACCCCGGCCGCCAGCATCGGAGCGCACGCACTTAACCACTAAGCCACGGGGCCGGCCCTAAAATACTTACTTTTAACTATTCAAGTAATAAGTGGCTACATTGTCATTGTTAAAACATCCAATGCAATAATAGTTGAAGTCTGTCTTAACTACAGACTGTAACTCCCTCCTCAGTAATCCCTCTTGAAAGCTCCAGTGGAACTCATTGTAATCAATATTGTATGTGGTGTTCTAGATCTTTTTCTATTCTTGCTTTCATATATATGTGGAAAAAAATATATATATGTTTATTTTATATAGGTTTTAAAATATATAATTGGTATCTTACTATACGTTTCCAAAATGTCCTTTTTCGCTTTATAATATTTGTAGGAGGAGATCTTTACTAATCAGTGTATAGAGATAGACCTCATTTAAAAAATTTTTCCATAAAGTATTCTATATTGTGGGTATGCTGTAATGTATTTAACTTTTCTCTTGTTGATGGACATTTGTTTCCAAATTCTTGCTACTACAAGTAGTGCTCCAATGAACATCATTGTATATATGCCTCCTTATGCGTGTGTATGAGTATTTCAGTAAGTATGTGTTGAGAAGTGAAATTGCTGAGTCAGTGGTTAAGCATAATTGTGGTTTTAATAGTTAATACCAGTTGCCTCCACCAACAACAGAAGAGAGTACTTGTTTCTTTACTCCATTGCCAATGCTATATATTATCAAACTTCGAAAATTTTTGCCAATCTGATAGGTAAAAAATAGTATCTTGGGGATGGCCCGGTGGTGTAGTGGTTAAGTTCACGTGCTCTGCTTTGGCGGCTCAGGGTTCTCAGGTTCGTCTTCCGGGCACAGACCAATGCACTGCTCATCAAGCCATGTGCAGTGGCGTCCCATATACAAAATAGAGGAAGATGGGCATAGATGTTAGCTCAGAGCCGATCTTCCTCACAAAAAAATAATAATAATAAATAATAGTATCTTTTGTTTTTGTGAGGAAGATCGGCCCTGAGCTAACTTCTGATGCCAATCCTCCTCTTTTTGCCGAGGAAGACTGGCCCTGGGCTAACATCTGTGCCCATCTTCTTCTACTCTATATGGGACGCTGCCCCAGCATGACTTTACAAGCGGTGCATCGGTGCCTGCCCGGGATCTGAACCTGCGAACCCTGGACTGCCGAAGTGGAGTGTGCGCAGTTAACCAGTACGCCACCAGGCCGGCCCCCATAGTATCTTATTTTTATTTGCATTTTCTATATTATAAGTGAGGTTGAGCACTTTTTACATGTTTATTGGCCAGTTGTATTTTGTCTTCTGTGAATTACCACTTCATATTGTTTGCCCGCTTTTCTGTCTGGTTCTCATATCTATCAGTCTACCTGTATCGCTGCTCATAGACTCGTTTTCTCCTCTTACTGTGGATGAACTGTTTCTACCCCTGTTGTCTCCACCTGTGTACCAGATCCTATCCCCTCTCACTAATTCAGAGATCTTGTTCTTGTAATTATCCCTGCCCTACAGCATCCTCAGGTTTTTCCTCTCTACTGAATGATTTCCATTAACAAAGAAGTTGCTGTAATATCTCCCATCTTAAAAAATAAACAAATCCTTCCTTGACCCCATGTGCTTCTCCAGCTACTGCCTCATTTCTCTGCTTCCTTGATAGAAAACTAGAGAGTTGTCTTTATTTGCCTCCCACTCTATTGAACCAACTCCAATCAGGCTGTGTGATTTTCATCCCCATTAGTCCACTGAGACCATTCTTGTAAGTGTCACCAAAGTCCTCATCATTGCCGAAACCAGGGCTCAATTCTCAGTCCTCATCTTATTGAATCTCTCAGAATCATTTGACACATTACTTTCTACTTCTTGAAGTGCCTCCCTGTTTTATAATGTAGGTTTTATTATTTTTCAGGTATGGTGAGGCCAACACATCAGGAGACAATGTTCCCAAGAGGAGGGGACACACCTTGCCACACTACGCTACACCACCTTTTGGGTGGGTGGGTGGGTCAGTGGCTGAGGGTGTGTCATATGGGGAAGCACCAGGGTCAGAAGGCGGAGGGAATGGGAGGAAAACGTGGTCAAGAACTTTATTGTGGTTTCTACAGGAAGGAATGGATGAGGCAGAGTAAGTAGATATAGGATTAGCTAGTTTGAATAATTTCAGCAGGCTCTGAGGGCATAGGGGTAGTTCCTAGTTGTCTGGTACCTGGCCCTGGAGTGATTAGGGTAGGGGAGTAGTAATAAAGGATGGATTGATTAGTTGTATT